ACTGTTTTTTTGTTAAAAATCTTCCACAATCTGAGAAAAATTGAAAAATTAACAAGGCTGGATCAATAAAATCTGCTGAAGTGTAATTAAGGGTAAAAGGAATAGTTCATCCTGAAAAATTACTGCGTAATATGAACTACTAAAGAGTCCAATCAGTCAGTAACGTGTCTTATTCTTAAATTTTGTTCTCGAATTGAATAATCATACAAAAAATGAAATTTCTGTACCAACATTTCGAAAATCTATATTTTTTGTTCTCAAAACCCAAAAAATTCACTTGTGAAGAACGTCTCAACCGAAATCGAGTGTGTGTACCTCTGTATAGATGGAACATTAGTAATATCGCAAGATTATGAAAGTATTAAGTAATAGTAATGGTGAGGCTTATTCAAAAATATGTAAGCATATGTTAATCCAATGTTATATTCGAGCTATTACCTTTTCAATCATTAGCAGAGCTGTTAAATAAGAAGTTTGTGGAGATCAAATCGTGAGGTGTAGTTTTTGAAAAATGAAGAAGATAACTTTTTTAATTCAACTTATTCATATATGTCTGATAATGGGGCCAAACCCGAAAGGTCGCATAAATAAAATCTACCAGTGGTATTTAGATAAAAGTGTTTTTATTCATTTTATTTAAGTCAACTCATTCAGTTACAATTTCAATTTTTGGGACAGTTTCAGAAAAATGTTTAAATAATCAACTCAGTTTTTAGATGATTAGCTTAGCCTACCTGAATTAAATAGTAATCATAATATAAGACGCCCATGTCAGTGAAAAAATATTGTAACTTTATGGATTATTTTCTCTCATCACAAATCATCTCATAATTCCAAATGATATGTATATAGGGTGTTGTTTTGAAAACTTCCAACCTTTAATGTCTTTCAGTAAACAATATGAAGAATTGAAAAAACAGGTCAATTTTATTGTCAAGGGGGACACTTTCAGTATTTGTAGCCCTCGTGGTTCAGGGGTTGTTACCCTCAGAATTTTAAATTGGAAAGGGGGTTAAGTTATGTGAAGAGATTTTGCAGACTATCCAAGGAAATGCAGAGCTTGCAGATTCCCACCCCGGATCCAGAAAGGATTGATTATCTTTATAACTTTTTATTCATTCTATTTTGCATATTTTGTATTGTAATTTTGAGTAAAATAAATTGTTTTTAAAAACGGTTTTCGACTGCAAAGTTACTTAAATGGCGCAGTCGTTGTAGGATTATTTCGCAGTTCCTTTTTGCGAAGTTCACGGTATCGGGTCCGATTCCGAAAACTGAACGTGAGTTTCAACTCTTCGGCGTTTACTATCTACCTCTGGAGTTCACACGAGGAAGCAGAAGAATCACTATCAAAAAAGCATCTCTGAAGTACAAGTAAGTACCGAGTTCCTTTTTACCTATTTCCCTGGATAGGAAAAAACTAGATTTGGCATCTGGCTTCCACCAGATTGAAATGGACCCCAACTCAGTTTCGAAAACTGCTTTCAGCGTTGAGCAAGGTCATTACGAATACCTGCGCATGCCTTTTGGTTTGAGAAACGCCCCATCTACATTTCAACGTGTGATGGATGACGTCCTAATAAATCTTCAAGGAAAAGTCTGCTTAGTTTACATGGACGACATTATTATTTTTAGTTCCAGCCTCGAAAAACATATCGCAAACCTCAAACTATTCCAACGTCTCAGAGAAACCAAACTGAAGATTCAGCTTGATAAATCTGAATTTCTCTGTAAGGATGTGGAATTCCTTGGACATGTAATAACTCCAAATAGAATAAAACTGAATCCGAATAAAATAAAAGCATTAAAAAAAATCCCCTTGCCAAAAACTGCAAAAGAAAGTAAATCCTTTCTCGGACTTTAAGGCTACTATAGGAGATTTATCAAAAATTTTGCCAAAATCACTAAACTATTCACGAAGTGTTTGAAAAAAAGGTGAAAAAATAGAACACAATCCTGAATTTTTGGAAACCTTCGAACTTTGCAAAAATATCTTGACTAATGGCCCAATACTTCAGTACCCAGACTTTTCCAAACCATTTAATCTTACGACCGACCCATCAAACTTCGCAATTGGAGCAGTCTTAAGCCAAGGAAAAATCGGAAATGACCTACCAATAGCATACGCCTCAAGAACACTCAACCCATCTGGGATAAATTACAGCACAATTGAAAAGGAACTTTTAGCTATTGTTTAGGCTGCCAAATACTTCCGCCCATACCTATTTGGAAGGAAATTCAACATTATAAGGTTCCATAAACCACTCAAATCCAGGCGACATCGATGAAGGAATTGAAAATTATATACGGGATGCTTTATCAGGGACAGACCCGAACGAAATTCCACAACCAATCGCAAACAATGCTAATAATCAACCCTCAGACGAGAGACCCAACAACAAAGAAGTACAAGAGATCCTCGAAAACCCCGTTGGTCCATTCAAATGCAGAGAATCCCGTTCTTGAAATACCATACGGTGAAAATGTCACAATTGCATATAGTAATCAAAAAATAATAAGAAAAATCGATTCTAAAGCTTTCTATATGATAAGAAGCAAACTTTTCATTTCAAAATCTCGATTGACATTAAACTTTACCAAAAAACTCGAGAAAAAAATTATTGATACCTTCAAAAATTATATTGACCCGAAAAAATTATTCTATATTTATATCAAAGAATCAATCGAACATTTCATTCCAAAGCTTATAAGAACACTTCAAAATACATTTAAAAATCACTCCTATCATTTGGTTATTTCAAAGAAATTCGTCAAAGACCTAACATACTTAAATTTGGAATTTTTTTTATTATTGTGTCATTTGAATCTGGATTATGGGGTAATAATAAAATAAATACAACAATAAAAATTAATTGGCGCTCCGGGGCGACTTCATTGATTCCAGTAGCGCATTTGCTTTTTCAGCTGCAGGAAAACCCGGAAAAACCTGCAGCACCACATCATCTGAAGATCTTGATCTAACAATGTCCTCTCTCTCATAAAACAAAATGTAGGGTGTCTCCAGAGGCTCCAATAAATTCAATGCATCGCCAGAACACTTCGTAACACGACTATCGTCAAACTTAAACCAGTCCGTTTCTTTTTTAACCAAGGCGTAATAATGACCAAACCAAACATACTTGGATGAGATAAAAAAAAATTTGAAATACCACCATGAGAGTAAATCTTGTCAACGCGGCATAAACGAAACATTCCAAGCATTAAGAAATAAATATTATTGGACGAATATGAAAAAGGATATCATCCGGCATATAAATGCTTGTGATATCTGCCAACAAGCCAAATATGATAGTCACCCTCCAAAAATGAAATACTCCATCACCCTCACACCCACTAAACCCTTTGAAATGATACATATTAATGTCTTTCAGATTCTACAGACGAAATTTCTAACAATGTTCGATTCCTTCTCTAAGTACGGAGAAACATACATTTTAAATAGCGTCAACACCGTGAACGTAATAGAAGAATTATACTTTTTCATCACTCATTTTGACGTACCCTGTTCCATTACTTGTGATAGTGGAACCAAATTCAAATCAGAACTCTTTATGGAATTTTGCAAACTTCACAAAATTCAACTTCATGTTTTTACCCCACGCAATTCGAACAGTAATAGCCCCGTTGAAAGAGTCCACCTATCTCTTCTTGAAAATACCCGCGTCCTGAAACTACAACATCCCAACACACTCATAAAACAACTAGTCTAACTAGCAATCATAGGGTACAATGCGTCAATCAATTCCATGACAAAATACTCCCCTTACGATGTAGTCATCCAAAAACTTTGTCAAAATAAAAAAAGAACGTGTCATCAATAAAAAAAACGAGATTCGCGAAGACCCTGTAGAGTTCACATAAAATCAAGATATATTTGTGCAAAATCGCGAAGCTGCTCGTAACAAAGCTAGTAAAACGTAGATGGTAGTATGTGATGGTTACGTAGATGGTTGTGTTTAGTAAATGCTGAATTTTTAATTATCATCGCAGAAAGTGTACAGATAGCCGTCCTTTTTTACTACTTCTGCTGTAAAAAGTTTCTGCCAATCAATAAGATGTGCCACTTGACACCACTACTCATTTAAGATACTAAGGGTAACATCTACTCCTCTTTGGGGGTTGAACCACGAGGGCACAAATATTCCTTGAAAGTGTCCCCCTTGACTATAAAATTGATCTTTTTTTCGATCCCTCATATTATTCACTGGAAGGAAGATATTAAGGTGAAGTTATCAAATTGAAACCCTCTATAGAGATTTTATGTATTTATTATTGTCATTAAATCTTTTCAAATTTCTATAAAATGCATGTGTACTATCTATAAAAATATTACAGTTTTATTTTTCAGTTTATGTGTTTTTTGGAACTACATTCTCTCTAGTGGAATTGATGGACTTTATGCAAAATGGAAAATTATTTGACAAAGGAGAATACATAGTTATATATGTTGACAAAAATACTTATTCAGAGAAACAATCATATCAATACCTTTGGGGTAAATATTATTTTTCAGATTATCGTTAGATAATATATCCTCCAACATTTCTTTTTCAGATTTCGAGACGTTTGGAAAAAACAAAAGATGTCAAGACCTTTCTGATTTTGAAGGATTTAAAAAGAGAGCTAAATCTTTGTTCATAATAGCACCTACTGCCCCTACACAAAATTATCAAGAATTTGGGCAAAAAGTTCAAACATACAATACTAAGGAACCTTTTAATTTTCTAGTGTCAGATTTTTTTCCAGATGATTTGAAAACTGTAAGTTTTATATCGATCTCATATGATATAACCAATAATTGTATCTGTAAGGAAGATAGTGTGCCAGGCTTACACTCAGACCCCATTAGGATTATTATAAATTTTCGTTGAGTATATGTTTATGCATAAGAATGATGAAGTTATGTTTTCAATATGCACTCGTGGTTCCTTCTAATCCACTTTAAAATACTAATGATTAGAATACACCCCAGGATTAAGTTTCACTTTCAAGTGATTTATCAAATGAATGTCATCATAACTTCTATTGTCAGAGGTTATTTGGAGATCTCTAATTTATGACACAGTCAGACATGTGAATCTTCGGATATATCTGAAGCATTCTACTAGATGTAGCCCTAGGAACCCCTTCAAAAACTTTTTATTTAAATTTAACCAGCAAAAGTTTTGCTGCTTACTATCCCACTTTCTCTTGGCAAGTTTTTCGTGTTAGACAGTTGACGGACCTTATTACTGCTTTACATAATTGACCTTCTCAATACAACTTACTGTTCAATACACAGTTGAAAGTAAGTTATTTAGTGTTCTTTCATTCAAAACTTCGGTATGGATTTTTAAATAAACTAAGCAAAGCTCTCGAATAAACCTCATTCACAAAAACCTGTTGAAGATTGTGAAGAATGGTGTTCTCTCATTTTTAGGAGTTCAATGCTACTAAAACTTCATGGTAGTTTTGTCATTATAAAAACCAAAAAGCTATATCTGCTGTGAGAATGTCTGGTATTACTAGGCATGCTAGAAGTCACTATCAGCAGTACTCTCTATCACACATAAACTCCTCGATTTAATACAAAGTAGAGCAATTCGTGGCCCTTTATTGTCATTGCCAATAACTCTGCCAACTTACACACAATAAAGTTGGTGGTTTTCTTTCTACAACCACTACCTCATTCTCACGAAATTAAAAATACAGTCAATTATAAAAAAAGGAAACTCCAATCTTTGTCCCCAACCTATCCTTATCTGTCCTCATTTAGTCTTTCGTGGGTTTCAATGAGTATTGTTTGCTGTAATCTCTCGAGGGAGCCAAGCAATAAAAGTCACACGGTCTACTATAGAGAATTAGAATAATCATGAAATTTATCATTATTTCACCTAGTTGAGTAAAGATAACCACTGGTTTTTAAGTCATGTTGGCACTGGAATTTTCAATACTTAAAATGTAACCTTAATGGTGTTGGTTAATCCAGAAATCCATTTGAGTTACTAAGCTACTAACTACAATTATCAATGCTTATAGATTTGTTTTGTTCTGCATTATATTATATGTTAAATCAAACACTTGCAATGTTAGCACTGGACTTTTTCATACTTGAAATGCAACCTTAATGGTGTTGGTTGATCTGGAAATTCATTTGAGTTACTAAGTTACTGACTACAATTATCTATCCTTATAGATTTGTTTTGTTCTGCAATATATTATACATTGAATCAAACACTTTGAAATGAATTAAGAATGGCATTCAATGTTTCCTGTTGTGAATAGAGTGTAAGATAATACCATATAATGTGTCAAATGACTTGGTTATTTTGTTCTACTCACTATTCTAGGTACCTGAATTTACAATGTGTTGAATTGTTCATTGTTGATATATTAAAAGAGACCTATTTTTTATTATTTTCCACTTTTAGTATGTGCCTATCCATGCAGCTTATCTTTTTGACTCTGTGAAATTGTATGCGTCCGCCCTACACCATTTATTGATGCAAGAAAAAATATTGAACGATGAAATAATTGATGAGATCGCTAAAAATGGAACAAAAATTATAGAAACCATTATCAAAATCAATGAGACATATAGAAGTAGGTTGCAATCAAATACTAAAGAACGTTTTTAATTCAAATATATTTTGGTAGGTATAACTGGTGCAATGATGAAACTCAACAAGAATGGAGATTCAGAAGGAAATTATTCAGTTATTGCTTACAGTGAAATTGAGAACACGATCGTCTTCAATAAGTTTACTTGTTCTTATCACATGAGACCAGTAGGCCAATTTTATCAGACTGATAAACCATTTCCGGTAAGCAGTAAAATCTGAATCAGATATAATACCTGAAAATAAATTCAGATACTTCAGCATTGAATCCTAGCTACTTGCAAATGCTCATGTCATATGACCCCAAACAATAAAATTTTGAATGAAATTGTTTAATCCTCTATCTTGCGTCTGCTTGATTGAAAGTAATTTTCCAACTGTTTATGTACCGCCCGACAATGTGCCTCTTCCACTTGAAATAGGAACTTATCAATGCATGTATTAATAAAAACTGTGTCATCTCATTTTATATTTGAAAAATTGATTACCTATTCAAGACGAGATATAGATCCAAAACAAGAACTTTTTCAAATCATCAAAACAGCAATTTTCTTCTCGATGAGCGTTTCATCAACCAAGTTGGCGTCTTCAGAAGATGAAGTTTTCTACATCTCCTTTACTTTTCCTAATCACCAAATCTGCACTACTCTTCTTGACGTGCGTTTCGCCATACTCAAAAAGAGTATTGCTGTTCTGGTGATTAGAAAAAGTACTTTATTTCGATTTCGTCTACGCCAGAGGTTCCAGTTTACAAGATGTAGATATAAATACCTTCTTTCTCAAGTACCCAAAATCATGAAAATAAAAAACAGAAATGAACATTGTTATCTTCATTTTATAATTTTTTTATAGAAAATAATATCAGTTTGAGTTGTGCCACTCAATTATGACACCATACAGTCATTGGTGACACTGTTTATCATATTGGAAGTCATAATAATTTACTTATTTCATTATTCCAGGAGTATGATCTCAATTCTAATAATAAAATCCAATGGCCTGGGGGTAGTAGACCTAATGATGAACCAAACTGCGGTTTCGACAATGAACTTTGTCCTAAACCAAACACTCAACTGAACAGTATAATTGCTGCAGGAATATTAGCAATTATGCTTTTTTGTGCAAGTGTTATAACAATGAGTATATACAGAAAATGGAAAATAGAGCAAGAGATCGAAGGCCTTTTGTGGAAGATAGACCGGGAGGAAATACACAGTTATTTTGATAGAGATATCATTTCTAGTCCAAGTCGGGTAAGTAGAACTCATTTCAGATAAAAATTAGAATAAGATAAAAATAGCTATTCATTTCTTGAACAATTTTTGTTTCAGCTCAGTTTAGCAAGTGCTAGCGTAACATCATACGAATCTCGCGGAGGGATCCAAGTATTTGCAACAACAGCCCAGTATAGAGGTGTGGTAGTAAGAATAAAAGATTTATCATTTTCTAGAAAAAAAGATATTTCTCGGGACGTTATGAAGGAAATGCGATTATTGAGAGAGTTGCGTCATGATAATGTTAACTCTTTTATTGGAGCTTGTGTAGAGCCGACCTCGTTGTTATTAGTCACTGATTATTGTGCCAAAGGAAGCTTATATGTGAGTATATTCAAATATAAAGATACAGACAATATTCAAACAATCTTCTATATGAGTATTTAAAATCATAATGTAATCTTCATTTACATTGTAAATAAAATTCACATAAGTGGTTTCAAAAATATCACCCTCCAGAGAAATGTCTAGTATTAGTCAATATGTACTTGGTTTTTAACCATTTTTTGGAGATATGTATAAATATATTATACAAAAACGTGTTCTATCTTGATTTTGAAGTGTAAAACTATATTTGACTAAAATATTTATACCTTTTCAAATTCTTTCTTTCCCTAAATTCAAATACATTTCTCAAAAAGGAATTTTGAGTTCAGAAATGTTCAGCTTTCATAACATTTCAGTGCATAAATACATATATTTATGTAGTTCATCTATATAACTTTCATATATTAATGTCTATTAATAATGCTATCACAGAGAGAACATTTGTATCGTTTTACAGAAACTTCAAAAAATGCATGGGTATTCACATCTACATGTAATTTTTAAGAGATATTTGGATTTAATAAATGTCTTCAAGTTGTAGATACGAAAATTATTGGTCACCGTCAATTTTAGTTCTCTGCTAACATCTCAGAAAATGACATTGATAGTGGTGATCTAAAAAAAGACTATGTTTAATTAACCAGTCTTGTAAATCTTACCATTTCCGAGGTAGCAATAGTTTAATTAACTAAAAAAAACGGTCTGTAAAATTTGATTTCATTATGTTGCTAGATTTATTCAAAATCTTTTCTAGTTTTGATTGTTGTTTACTCATTACTTATTCAAATAAACATTCAGGGTTACAAGACAGGTAATTATCTGATAATATTCGTTGATTGTCACCTTAGATGTGACATACATATGAAGAAATTACTTGCCATATAAATTATGTCCGTAATTTTGTACCTTAAATCAAATGAGAAAAGTCTGCTATGCTCTGGTTCAATCACTTTTGATAAACGGAATAATTGCTTGGGGGGGGGGGGCTTGGAGGAGCGATACCAACAACTATCTCAATGAACTGAAAATTGCTCAAAAACTAATTATAAAAATTATTCTTAAAAAGAAATTCAAAATTTCCTCAGACCAATTGTGTTGCTAATCACTAAAACAATTTGAATGAAAATTTGAATAATTCCCACATTTTCTTGTATAAATATGGAGAAGTAGAAAGCCAAAACTTTTCTTTCTCAAAACCTAATAAAATAACCAAACTGAAATATCAGCGTAAACATACAAAATATATTTTTCCTTTTTTGAAATGTCAATCAGACATTATAGTCACAATCTGTTTCAGTAGTTATATAGTTAAATATTTAGTTTGTAATAGTTTCACTATTAAACACTCTGGTGAATGTTGAAAAATTGGATCTTCCTTTGTGGTTAATGCAGATTCGAACAATCATGATGCTCCTGGGATTGTGCATGGAGATCTATTAACAATGCTTAAATAGAACTGGAGTCTAATGTCCCGAATTCTTGTTAGGTCCATGTTAATATATGTAAATTAAAATTATCATAAAAAAAAGTTTGTCTTCCATATGACATGGTACTTTGAATTTGAGTGTTCATTATTTTGCATTTCTAACATACTTTACCTAAGCTGATTATTAGTATAATCTCATCAGAAGCCTTGAAAAATGCCTTTTCCCTGTATGAAATCATAACTGTTTTCTACATTTCACTAACTCACTATTTTTGTCAAATAGTTTCTACTTTCTAGCATTTTGCATATCTAAAATGCAACCTGAATTATTTTTGTAAATATTAATTATCTTTATTAACGTTTATTAATAGGGATTAACTAAATTAACTGAAGATACAAATTTAAGGAAATAATGAAATGAGAAAACACAAGTAATAATTATAAGCAGTTAACATTAGGTTTTCTAATAGATTTCTAATATAATTGTTGTATCATCAACAAAAAATTTAACTGATAGGTACCTTTAGAGATAAATATGTTAATGACTCAATATATATTTAAAAAAAAGTTGACCAAGAATAGATCTTTACAGTACTCCAAAATTTATTTTTCTCATAGAACCTTCTCATTTCCTATCCAAAAATATTGTTGTCTTATCACTCATATAATTTGCAAATTAATTAAGGATATTCCTTCTAATTCCAAAATTGTTTAGTTCTGAAAACAATATATCATAATGTACAGTATCAAATGCTTTGCACAAATCTAAAAACAAGAGGCAACATTTTTTATCATTTTCAATTTCAGTTTGAATTTTTGAAATGACATCCATTGCTGCTGCCTCTGTATCTCTAGATCTGCGAAAACCATACTGATCACTTTATAAAAGAATTTTTTCCAAATAATTGGTTAATTTAAAATCTTGGAAAAAACTTTGAAAATAGAGTTTCCGATATTGATATATCCAATATATAGTATCCAATTGGGACAAAGTTTCCTTTTTAACCATATTATATCTTTCAGGATATTATAGAAAATGAAGATATTAAATTAGATAAAATGTTTGTCGCATCACTAGTTCATGATCTCATAAAGGTAAGTTCCACAACAAATATAAATAAAATATTTACGAATTTATTTTTCAAAGGGAATGTTGTATCTACACAACTCTATTCTGGGATGCCACGGTAACCTAAAATCATCAAACTGTGTGGTAACGAGCAGATGGGTTCTGCAAGTAACAGATTTTGGTTTGGCGGAAATTCGGCATTGTGCTGAAAATGACAGTATAGGTGAACATCAGTATTACAGAAGTGAGTTAATGGTAATCCAATTACAATAAGTTTTTATTTCATACAATTTTTATTAGATTTATTTTGGAAAGCACCAGAAATATTGAGAAATCCCGGTGACTATATTAAAGGAACTCAGAAAGGAGATGTATATAGTTTTGCTATCATACTGTTTGAAATACTTGGAAGAAGAGGGCCCTTTGGCTTCGCCGGATACGAGCCGAAAGGTAAGAAAGTATTAAATGATCTCATTTCATTTGACTACAGTATAATTGTCCATTCTGATATTGACTTTATTTTTCATTACTTAGATACATATAGGTATTGTAAAACTGAATTTTCTCTTCAGCAAGAATAGTTAAAAAATAAATAGATAAGTACTTTTTGATCACTCCCATATTGATTTCAATTTAAGAGCCACCGGTAGACAGCTGTTTCAGCCTATTGGGCATCCGTACCGGGCAGGCGGTCCTCAATTGAAGACAAAATGACGTTAACCATCTTGATTTTATTCAGGTTGAAGTCTGGCTCCCTTCCCCTTTTAACTGAAGTTTGTCAGAAAGACAAATGGGTCACGAGGACATAGGGGCCTCATTCGACAGAGTGTCGGGGCCTTCTATATCGGGAGGGGTCGTTTACAGCGTAATCTATAGCTTCCCTGACTAAAGAAGACAAAATGAGAAAAACCAAGAAAGTACTTGATAAAAGTAGCAGCGTAAACGCAAGCGAAACATAAGTGGAACCACCTATTGGTGTGACACCCAAGTCAACTTGCCAAGTTTTTATGTCAGTGTTGATGGTTTGTCGGTTGATTGGTCAAACCACCAACACTGCCAAAAGAACTTGGCAAGTTGAATTGGGTGTCACACCAATAAGTGGTTCCACTTATGTTTCGCTTGCGTTTACGCAGCTATTTTTATCAAGTACCTACTTTCTTGGTTTTTCTCATTTTGTCTTCAATCGAGGAACAGGAGTCAGTTGTTGTGCTACAAAGTCAGGATCGGACTACATCCGATTGTCCACACCCCAAAAGTTTGAAATAACAGATATTTTTCAGTAATTCTCAACAGAATCATGTTACTTGAACAATTTTCTGAATAGAGTACTCGTGTGCAAAATGATCGGAGAAACGATTTTTGATAAAAATGCTCTTTTGTTCGACGACATCCATCCTGAGATGTCTACCATTATTCGAAGAGATTAATTTTGAATGAGAATAGAAATGATAGGTAAAATGTTCATAACGAATTTTTATAATGCAAACACATTAACTTAACAAAACTCATGGTGTAAATATCAATCGCAAGCCTCAAGAGCAAACAAAAATGAAAAATTCGATACAAAATACAAAAACTGCTCGATATCACCTCCTTCTCTCTCAGTACATTTTCGTAGTCTGCGAAGACACCATCTCTGTACTTGAAATAGTATTGCAGGGTCGTTTCGTATGGCTTCACTATGTAATGTTATTCTATGCAACAAAGCGTCACTTGTGTGAATAGTTGTATCGTAAGCAAGGCTCTTTAGATGCCCCCATGGAAAGAAATTCAATGGACTCAAATCCGGGTACCGCGGTGGCAATACATATGACCCACCTCTACCAATCCATCTATTGTGTAAAGTATGATTCAGATGGTCCCGCACAATCGAACTCATATGCGGAGGAGCGCCATCATGCATGAACCACATATCTCTTCGAGTTTGCAATGGAATATGTTCCAAAAGTCCATTCAAATCGTTCTGAATGAACTGCAAATAATGTTCGCCATTCAATAGATCATGTAGAACGAATGGTCCTATAAGATGGTTTCCTATGATACCAACCCAAACATTCACGTTGAATTTCCGTTGATGTTTGGTTTGAATATCCCATGGGGATTTTCTTCGGCCCATATGTAGAGATTATGAGAGTTGATAACCTGCTTCGTCAGTGAATAAAAGTCATATCCTCTCTTTGCTTATCCGTGAACCAATTGGCATATTCCAGTCGTGCTGGAAAATCTTCAGGTGTCATGGCATGTACCTTCTGGCTGAGATATGGGTGGAGCAGTTGTTACCTAATAATTCTATGTATAGTGGACTTGGATGTATGAAACTGTTCTGATAGATTTTTGAAGCCCATCAGCGACAGCTTCCAAAATATTTTTCTCCAAATACAACGGTTCGCACAGCCCTAGGAGCGCCCACCACCTCGTTTTTGGCAAAATTGTACTTACAATAATATCGAAATAAAACTACATGCTCCAATTCGACACGCTCGAATGTTTCTTTTGCCGGTACCGTTCGATTGAGAAAATGCTTGGAATACAGATGGCGGGCTTCTGCAGTATAAGAAAATGCGCGTTCATGAAATGCAGGCATATCTACATATTCGTTGAATGTAAACTGTTTGGCCATATCAAGAAACTTCATAATATCCCATGGAATATTGACAATAAAATGAAAACGCACCACTCAAGAAGACACAATCGCATTCTAGTTTCTCATTTTTTATCACAACTATTTTATTTCTTTCTAAAAGGTTAAAATATTGTGTATGAAATGTAAGAACTTTAAACTCTTTGACTGTTTCTTTCAAAATACTGTCCGATTGAAAAATCTATCAACTCGATTTGCAAATGAACTGATGCCTGTGAAGCTCCAAAATTGAATGGATTGTTGAAAATTGGGAATCAAATTTCATTCATTTTGTATAAGTCTTCAACAATTGTTGAATTCCGTGATCAGATTTTGCAGAAGTTGAGAATATTGATCCAATTTTTTTTGTCACTGTGCCAAATGATTTTAAATGAGGGAAATTATACAAAGTTTGATTTTTTACCTGATTTTCCCACAGCCTCAACTTTGTTTCAAAGGCTTGAACCCATAAATACATTTGACGGACAAACAGAGTTTTACTCTGTAACTTTATATTCACATCAGTCAAGTGTTTATTCATATCTACCCACCAGTCATTGTCATAATCAATTGGGTTGCTTTTTTCTAACATGAAGGCTTGAATAGGGTCACGTAATGCAAAAACTCTTTCTAAAACTACTTCTCGACTGAGCCAACGAACTTCGGTGAAATAAGGGACTTCAGAAAACTTTTCGTCCAAATCTTTTAAAAACTGCCAGAACAGTAGATGAACAACACCGATACGAGCGCACTTCAAGGTCGAGCGTTGCTGGTAAGTATTTCAGAGAAACTTTAGTGAGTGGAAGAGAGAAACGTGTGACGTCATCGACGCAGGATGGAACGAGTATCGTAGCGATTCAAGCATGAAACTTGGCCCCCTTATTACTCCGCCTCACCTATCAGCCCCTCTTGCGTCTCCGCATCACTCCTCGGCCCCCTTCTCACGTTCCAGTCACGTCATTTTGATTAAAAAAAGTTTATATTTATGAGATTCGAACCTGGATCGTCCGCGCCGTAGACATTGTCCTTAGCCTCTTTACCAACGTAAGATATTGAAGGTAACTGCGAATGTTGGGTATTTACAGTGTTAGTTTTGTCGGGACCGAAATTGACTCATTCATTAAACTCGACAGCATTTTTTTTTATTTCCGTAGACTGTAATCATCATTATCATATTGAAGATAGGAAAATATACTTAGATTTGGGAAATAATTAATATTTCATGTAAAGATGTGTATGTGTGTGTAAGAACGAGAGACGCGTGTAAAATTTTAGTATTTTAATAATCCATAACATGATCTGAAGAGATAACATGTTCAGCTAGTCCACAGGAACGTTTGTTTAAGTATGTGTAAATATTATAATAATCACATTTTCTCTGGTGCTGTAAAAAAATTTCAACGTTAAATTTTGCATTTGACTTTTCGTTTTTATGTTTGGATTTATATGCCTTTTTTTATATTTTATACTAACTTTGGTGAGTCTTTTGTAACATATCTATTACTATATAATATTCGCATGATCTTTATTTTGTAGATATTCTTGATAAAGGAAAAAATATATTTCCGAAAGCTTGAATAACAAAAAATAGTGTTTCCATAGCCCTCAGATATTGACTGAATTACCCAACTCAAAAATAATTTATAGTTATATAATAACCAGTCAACTAAATTTGACCTAATATTTAAATATTAATAAATGTTATATACTTTGGGAAGCAAACCTGAAATGTCCAAATTTCTGCAACCGCAGTTGTCGGCTGATAGGTCAAACCACCAATACTGACATAAAAACTTGGCAAGTTGACTTGGGTGTCACACCAATAGGTGGTTCCACTTATGTCTCGCTTACGTTCACGCAGTTATTTTTATTAAGTACTTTTCTTCGTTATTCACATTTTGTCTTTAATCGAGGACCGCCTGACGATGCCCGATAGGCTGAAACAGCTGTCTACCGGTGGCTCTTAGATTGAAATCAATATGGGAGTGATTCAGAAATATGCCCGAAAAAACACTATCACTCACTACGTAGTACGTACCACACTGTATCCTGCATCAACAAAACTCAAATGCACCGCCCATGAACGAATAACCAATAAACCATCAACCCGAAATAATAAATGCCGTACGTTGCAAGGAAGCCAAGCCTCCGACCGCTTTAAAAAACACAGGATCCACGAGACCGATCCAACCAGCGGCATACGTCCCGATTTGTAATTTCAGTTGCACAAATTATAGCGTTAGAGGAGGCTAGCCTCCAGTTGGTCTCCGTACGACTGCGTTTGTTTTTTATTCAATAATTCGGACGGGATGCCGTGACGGACCGGGACTGAAAAATTTTTCGGTAAATTGTTTTAGAGTTTCTTGATAATATTTATTATTTGTGTATAAAACAGGCAATATTGTATTATAGCTGTGCTTTTTGGTAATATTTTTAATGTGTTTTTAGAGTGTTTTCTTTCAATTTCAAAGTGTTTTCAGGTTTTCACTTTTCGGTAAGTTTTTTTTCATTTATTATGGATAAGTTGGACGAAATTAAAAAATCTGACGATATAGTCGATTGGTTGGTGACAAATAATTTTAAGTCTTTATCTTATGATAATAAATTTTACATTATTAAAACTCTGGGAAAGCCTCAACCAAATTTGATTTCAATTGAAGTGTCAGATAATCGACAAAATCGAGGAATTATTAGTTGGTACGATAAATGCGATTGGTAAACCGGCTGTGTTTTATTTTCCGTACAAACCGAATACCAAACGTGGTCTAAAATAGGATACTCCGATTTAAAAAATTTACCTCCTTCTTCAGAAAGACATTTTAAATCTAAGGAGCATATATTTTCGTCTTGTAAATTAAAATTGTTTAGCAAACAAAATATAGTAACAGCTTTAGATACAGCTCAAAAAGAGGCCATAATTTATTTTAATAATCAGGTTAGGGAAAATCGGTCGAATTTAAAAAGACTTATTTGGGCTCCCAAGAATTAGCTTTTCGCGGACACGATGAAACCGAAGATTCGAATAATCGCGGCAATTACAAGGAACTTTCAATGTTATGGGACAAATATGATTCACAATTTGGCACTTTTTTAAACGGTACCGTTTTTTTGGGAACCTCAAAAACCATCCAAAATGAGCTTATAGACAGTGTGGTATATATTATTAAGGAAAATATAATCAAGGAGTTTGAAAGTGTTTCTTTTTTTGGATGTGAAATTGGTCATATATTATTAAGAAAAATATAAGCAAGGAGATTGAAAGTGTTTCTTTTTTTTGCATGGGAAATTGATGAAACTACCGATATTACCGGTACATCACAACTTTCAATCGTTTTTAGATATGTCAAAGATGGTAATGTGGTAGAACGTTTTAATGGGTTTTCATGATGTTTCATCTGGGCACACAGCTAACGATTTGTTTAATTTTTTAATTCGTACGTGTGACACCAATAATTTTAGGCAAAAGTTAATTGCGGAAACCTATGATGGGGCTGCGGTCATGGCCGGCCATTTAAATGATTTACAAGCTAAAATAAAGTCCATAGCTCCTCATGCACTTTTTACGCATTGCCATGCCCATGCCCTAACTTTAGTATTAAGCAAAGCGTGCAACAATATAAACATTTTCGCGCCTCCGGCGGGCGTTTCTGAGAGTATATAGTCTTTATGACTTTAGCCTCCCCTGTTCTCCAATGCACGAGCCGTCACTGATGGTAGGATGAAAGAGAATCGTGATATACATATAAAGACTATTTGTTTGTTTGGAAATAAGTTTATCGTTCCTAAAAATATGTTTTTATTAATAGAGTGGCAAAGTGGAAAATGATAATATTGGGTTGGTAGTCAACAAAATTACATTACAATCAACACATAGTGGCAGTTACCTAGCTATTGCGATGCGCCGGCGGCAAATCCTTGTATAGCCATTAGTCTATTGTGCAAATCATGTGAATGGAAAGTAAGTATTTTTGATGATTGAAAAGAAACGAAATTCATAAATGAATAACTTTAAACTTTTGAATTTGAAAAATCTAAGATACAAATATGCCTTGATCTATCTGTGTAGATAGTTGATGAACAGAGCCCAAATACAATGCACTTGTGTTCCAACACCAGTCAGCGCTGTTTCGAGCCGTCGTCATAGGTCTCATCAGTGGTGCTAGGCTAAATCACGAATGCACAGCTGTACTCAACTGTCCTTAAAGGACAAGCATTAGCAATGACATATCTCCCCACGGAGTTTCATATGTAGATTTCATAGATTGGTGATTATTTTTTTCTATTTCTTTTCATGTTCTTCACTTAGGCCAGTCGTGTCAAAGATACAATCCGCGATCGCAATATGTCACAGAAAGAAGAATCATGTTTTTAGAGCTTTTAGACTTCAATCAATTCTACGAAAGTTTCAAAATTCGCACAGTACATTCATAAATAATTTCAAGACAGCGCGTGCCTAGACAAGCGAGAGAGTGTTAGTTAGGTACCTATTTAATTCTAGTAAACAACTCAATCATAGACAATAACGCCATCTTTTAGCAACGAGCGGAAATACCACATTATTTTTATTGAGAATTGAGAACAATAGAATCTGCCACGCACTTCGAGACTATAGTAGTGTAGAACCTTCCTTATCGATATAAAAGGAGTGCATTAGCACGACGTGAGTGTTGAGTCGAGTAATCGAAGCGATATGGTCGGAGAAGGATTCTAGTTGTACTGCAAAGTAGTGATTGTGAAGTCTAATGATTGTGCATTTGTTTGTGTCCTGCGCGTGCGATACCATAATTGTTGTTTCGAGTTCCATAATTGTTACAAAAACGTTAAGTTGATAGTGAGTGCACAGTTTTCAGTCTAAATGAGAAATTGCATATTTTTTCAAAGAATGGAAGGTAAACCACTGTGTTTGATTTACAGTCAAATATTTGCTGTTTGTAAGGAGTTTAACTTGACGAGACACTATGATACGAATCATTGATCAAAACTCTATTGTTACACTGACTGTATGTTGAAAGTTGCCTGTGTTTCATTTCCATTTCAAAAGTCAATAATTCAAAATATTTCGCTGTCAAGAAACACTGTTGCTTCAAAAATAAATGATTTATCTCAAAATTTGGTTCTTCAACTGAGGAAGAAAATTAAGGAATTTACAAACTTTTCACTGGCTGTTGACGAGAGTACTGATACTGTTGAGACATCTGAATTTAATGTTCCCATACGAGGTATTAACGGTAACTTTGCAATAATTTAAGAACTATCGAAGAGCGTTCAATCGACAGGTACTACAACAGAAAAAGTGATATTTATTCTGCAATTGAGCATTTGTTAGCAGAATATGAACTCAATTTCAATAAACTTAACAGCACAACTACATATGGCGCTCCTGTTATGGCTGGCAAACATTCGGGCGTTGTAACCGAATTGAAACATAAAACATCAGGGAATTTTGTGGGATTTCACTGTATAATTCATCAGGAATCATTGGCATCCAAACATTTAAAAATGGACCATGTGATACAATCTATAATTAAAAAATTAAAATAGTAAATTTTAACCCGAGCAGAGGACTAAATCACCAACAGTTCTGGCAGTTTTTAAAAGATTTGGACGAAAAGTTTTCTGAAGTCCGTTATTTCACCGAAGTTCGTTGGCTCAGTCGAGAAGTAGTTTTAGAAAGAGTTTTCGCATTACGTGACCTCATTCGAGCCCTCATGTTAGAAAAAAGCAACCCAATTGATTATGACAATGACTGGTGGGTAGATATGAATGAACACTTGACTGATGTGAATATAAAGTTACAGAGTAAAAATCTGTTTGTCCTTCAAATGTATTTATGTGTTCAAGCCTTTGAAACAAAGTTGAGGCTGTGGAAAAATCAGGTAAAAAATCAAACTTTGTATAATTTCCCTCATTTAAAATTATTTGGCACAGTGACAAAAAAAATTGGATCAATTTTCTCAACTTCTGCAAAATCTGATCACGGAATTCAACAATTATTGAACAATGAATGAAATTTGATTCCCAATTTTCAACAATCCATTCAATTTTGGAGCTTCACAGGCATCAGTTCATTTGCAAATCGAGTTGATTGATTTTTCAATCGGACAGTATTTTAAAAGAAACAGTCAAAGAGTTTAAAGTTCTTACATTTCATACACAATATTTTAACCTTTTAGAAAGAAATAAAATAGTTGTGATAAAAAATGAGAAACTAGAATGCGATTGTGTCTTCTTGAGTGGTGCGTTTTCATTGTATTGTCAATATTCTATGGGATATTATGAAGTTTCTTGATATGGCCAAACAGTGTACATTCAACGAATATGTAGCATTTTATGTACGCGCATTTTCTAATGCTGCAGAAGCCCGCCATCTGTATTCCAAGCATTTTCTCAATCGAACGGTACCGGCAAGAGAAACGTTCGAGCGTGTCGAATTGGAGCATGTAGTTTTATTTCGATATTATTGTAAGTACACTATTTTTTGTTATTCAAGCTTTCGGAAATATATTTTTTTCCTTTATCATGAATATCTACAAAATAAAGATCATGCGAATATTATACAGTAATATATATGTTACAAAAGACTCACCAAAGTTAGTATAAAATATAAAAAAAGGCATATAAATCCAAACATAAAAACGAAAAGTCAAATGCAAAATTTGACATTAAAAATGTTGTTACAGCACCAGAGAAAATGTGATTATTATAATATTTACACATACATTGAGATTTAAATGTAGGTGTAAGTAAAAAATTATTAGTAATAAAATTACTGCGCAACTGGATAATATCAATAGTGATGGTTCAGTTGATTCAATAATTAGCGGTTCGGATGTTATTGGTGAAGCAGAAACTTGATGATAATTAACAATTTATTATCAAAATTCGTGAAATTTACCAATAAAAACCTTAGTTTCTTTTTTATTTTGCTCCAGGCAAAAACTATCAACAATATTCCATATCTACATACTTATCAGTATACAGTGTCGTGGAATTAATAAATTTCAAAGAGGATCATGACATGTTTAAAGTGTGAAAAATCTATTAATGATGATCAATTCTGTGTTTGCGATGGATGTCATCAAAGAATCCATTACACTTGTGCTGATCTTACTGCTTCTGAAATTAAATGTATGGTCTTGAAGACGAAAAGAGTACTCAAGTTTTTCTGTGATGAATGCTTGGAAGGTATCAAATTGGTTCCAGTTATGAAAAGACAGATTGAGGCCCTGGAGAAAAAGGTCAATGACTTGGTCACTAAAATAAATTCTAATCTGATAGATAACACCTCTGAAAACTCTTCTATAAACTTGGAAACGATGATATTCGAACTGGAAGAACGTCGCAGAAGGGCTAACAATTTAATGGTGTATAATATCCCAGAATCCTCTTCAACCATTGTTAAGGAGAAAATAGTTCACGATACTAATAAAGTTCGAGAATTTATTGAAGAATTGGGCTTCAATATTGAAGTCATAAAAGTAATCCGGGTCGGCAAATCTAGTAGCACTACTAGACCAATTAAAGTTTTGCTAAAAAACAGTGATGATGTTCTGAATATCTTGAAAAACAAAAATAAAATTCAACATAATATAAAAGTTAGTTCTGACTTAACCATAACTCAGCGTAATTATTTGAAAGATCTGAGAGAACAACTCAACACCAGAGTTGCCAAGGGAGAGACCAATCTCACGATAAGGTATATAAATGGGATACCTAAAATTGTACAAAAAAACTAACTAAGGGTAACTCTCCAGTTAAAACAATGAAGGAAGTAGAGTTGTATTATCAAAATGTTCGTGGTATTAGAACTAAACTTAAAGATCATGAACAAAATGTAGCAATTAGTAACCATGACATCTTAGTACTCACAGAAACTTGGTTGAATGATGACATTGAAACTGAAGAAATAGGGTTATCAAATTATACGGTATTTAGGAAAGATCGATCGCCTCAAAGCAGGTGGAGGAGTCCTTGTGGCAATAAAAAAAATAATTTCTCAAGATCCATTGTTGTTGAAGTGCAGAATGTAGAACAAATCTTTGTCTGTACAACGGTCCATGGCTTGGAAGTCATCATCGGTGCTGTTTACTTACCTCCAGCTTCCAATCTTGATTTGTACATAAACCACTGTGCCAGTGTTGAAAGTGTATTAGATAGGTTTTCTCAGCATAAATTCTTTTTATTTGGAGATTATAACTTGCCGAATATTGACTGGTTCAATGATGAGCTGGGTATATCTGCCCTTAACAATAATAATATTGCAGCTCAAACAACGGTAGACTGCTTCTCTTTTTATATTAAATAATATTAACAATTGTTATGGTGTTATGTTAGATCTTTTATTTTCAAACGAACCTAATGACTGTATTGTAGAAGCGTCTAGTGACTGTTTGTTGCCATGTGATACCCACCATCCAGCGCTAGCAATAACAATATCAAATCCTAATGATTTTAAAGAGCTAGAATATGAAGATTTTCTTTTTGACTTCAAAAATGCAAATTATGTTGGCTTAAATTACTATCTAGCTGGCATTGATTGGGACTCATATCTTGGCAACATAACTGACATTAACCAAGTTACTGAAAGTTTTTATGATATTTTGTATAACGGGATACATAATTTTGTTCCTGCCGTCCGCCTCTCAAAGCCAAGATTTCCCCGTTGGTTTGACGGGGCTAACTATGGAAAAGAAAAAAGCTCACAAAGCATACAAAACTAGCAAAAGTTGGGATGACTATCTGATATTTTCCAATATTAGAGCTCAGTGCAAATCAGCTTGCAAAGTAGGTTATGAAAATTACATTAAAACAGTTGAAAATAACATAGTATCTAACACTAAATATTTTTGGAACTTTGTGAATACNAAATTGCTTGTATCTGTCATTTACTTTTATTCTCGCTTCATTTCGATTCTCTATTATAACTGTTTAAATTGTTATTACTTATAATTAAATTAGATAAGATTTGTGTTAACAATCTGATATTTGTATAACTTATATTAAATGGGAGTTACCCGTGAATAAATAAATAAATAAATAAATAAATAAATTATGTGATAGAATAATTTCCCAGTCAGTCTGAGGACAATTCTGATAGAACCTATTATAATTTGTCTGCTAAATAGTCTTCCATATTTACATTTGTTTTGCTTCTTTGACGACCAGAACGGCACTGAGCAGCAAACTGCCTCATGGTCATATAAACCTGAAGAGCTGATTGAACATAATACTTTCTGCTCATCAAATTTGCTACAAATATACTCAATGAGATTAGACGAAAATTGTGAGATACGGGTATTGGATTTAACATGCATAGTTGAGTTGAATGACAAAAGTAGGTTTTTCAGCGAATCTGTGGCTGGCGATTCAAGATCATTATAGTTAATATTGAAATCGCCGGCAACAATCAAAGAACAGTTAACAGATAATTGAGACAGTATTAATTCTAATTAGTATAGTAAACACACAGAGAGCTAACACACATTTTTGTAGGCTCCTTAAAAATTGATGATTTTTCATTGGTGATACGTTGGTTTTTGGAAAATTTTGTGCAACTGGATAATATCAATAGTGATGGTTTAGTTTCTTTTTTATTTTGCTCCAGGCAAAAACTTCTAATAATCCATTAAATTTGTCAACATCAGTGAACATGAAGTCAATAACAGCATTATTTTTCATTAGTATGGCAGTTCCACCATGATTTGAAGACTTTCTGGAATAACTAGATACCACCGTGTAGCCTGGTATATTAATAGGTTCATTTTCATTGCACCAGTGTTCAGTCAGTAGGAGTAGACTTGGAAAACTTAGGCTAAAAAGTTACATAAGAAAGTCATACATAGGAATATACTATATTTTTATTAAGAAATCCTTCAATCCTCTTTTGAATACATTTATCAAACCACTATCTTTAATTTCTTGAGGTAGGTCATTAAAACAAATAATTATGTGTACTATTTTTTAAAATATTTTTCAACTTTTATATTGCTTCTGTTTCTAGTATTATGCCCATGTATTTCAGCCACATAAGTTAATTTATTCTGTAGATGTACAGGTGAATATCCAATTTTGATTTTAAAAATAAAAATTAGTGTTTGGTACTGGAACAGTTTCTTCACTGGTAGCCATTGAAAGGTTTGCAACAAATTTGCTATGGGTGTTATCCTCGAACATTGTAAGATTATTCGCATAGCACGATTCTGCATCTTTTGTAGTCATTTCATTTTGATTGAGAAAAAACAAAATGGTAGAACAATAATTCAAATGTTGAAGGATTATGGAGTTGTAGACTAATAATTTAGACCACTGGCTCATATATGGGGAACATCTTCTCAAATAGTTGATCTTGTAAGCTATTATTTTGATAACTTGATTAGCATGTTCCTTGAATTTCAAGTTGCTGTCACTAGTACACGAATTTGTTTACCTTCTCTATATTACTGTAATTAAATCGTAGAAGTAGGTTTTCATTATTATGATCTCTATGTTTCCCTAATAACATCCATTTTGTTTTATTTACGTTCACCTACAGCAGATTTGCAGAGCAATATCTATACACCCTTTCAAGACTAGCGTTTATAGTATCAACACACTCATGTACATCTTCACTACTAAAGTACAGTAGGTATCGTCAGCAAATAAGTGAATTCTACATTCTTCTGCTATGGTTACAATCTCATTTAAACATATAAGGAATAACATTAACTCTTTCAATTCCCTCTTTTTGTTACATTTTAATTTTGTCATATTACTTGATAATAATTCATTTCTGTACTATCAATATACATATATAATAATTGATTAATTGATCGGCATGATGTTCATATTTATCATACTTTTTTCAGGCAGGAGAAATTCTTCTTCAGATGGATGCCCGAAAGGATAACTGAAATACTATTTTGTTCCTAGAAAGTGACCCCGACTTCGCCATTCTGTGATGTACTGAAATGAAGGAGGCATACAAATCAGGTAATCATTTTTTTTCAATTTCGAATTGCAGGCCAATTTGTGTGAAATAGTTTAGTTGCATCAAAATATGATCATGAGATTGAATTATCAATAGCATTGATAAATATACTGAATTTGTAAATGTAATATTCACTTTATTAATCTTGAACTGCCGAGATGTTGCTGTATTTCAATACTGTTTGCACAAAGTCCCAATTGATTTTATTAATGATTATTTATTTGCCTTAGGAGTCAAGTCAAAAACGTTTATTCAATTTTGGGTTATAACATAGTTAGGTTGTATTGGGGTTATGAGGGGAGCCCTGCTATAGGCAGCGCCCCCTGCTACAGGCGGAGCCCCCTGCTATAGACAGCGGCCCCTGCTACAGGCAGCGCCCCCTGCTATAGGCAGCTCACCCTGCTATAGGCAGCGCCCTCTGCTACAGGCGGCGCCCCCTGCTATAGACAGCGGCCCCTGCTACAGGCAGCGCCCCCTGCTATAGGCAGCTCCCCCTGCTATAGGCAGCTCCCCCTGCTATAGGCAGCGCCCCCTGCTATAGACAGCTCCCCTGCTGTAGACAGCGCCCCCTGCTATAGACAGCTCTCCCTGCTATAGACAGCGCCCACTGCTATAGACAGCGCCCCCTGCTATAGACAGCGCCCCCTGCTATAGACAGCGCCTCCTGCTACAGGCGGCGCCCCCTGCTATAGACAGCGGCCCCTGCTACAGGCAGCTCCCCTTGCTATAGACAGCACCCCCTGCTACAGGCAGCGCCCCCTGCTATAGGCAGCGCCACCTGCTATAGGCAGCGCCCCCTGCTATAGGCAGCTCCCCCTGCTATAGGCATTGCCCCCCTGCTATAGGCATTGCCCCCCTGCTATAAGCAGGTTATCTTGTGTTTTAATCTGGTTTCTCTGTCAGAGCAGTACGGGTCCGTTGCGGTAGTTGGGTTTTCCTTGGTTCGGGTGGGTTATCCTCCAGGATGTCTTGGATCTGCTACATCGGGTTTTCCATTGCTCCCAGGAGTCTGGCTGGGGGAAACAGGAGCTTCTTTCTAGGTATCTTTCTGTGGCCTCCACGGTGTGTCCATGGTGTGGTCAGCGTGTTGATTGAGCGATGTTTTTGCTGTTCATCGTTCTGGTGGCATATCGTCTTTGGAGTTCCCGAAATCTGAGGTTGATTGGGGTAGTATTTATTAAGTTATATAAGTCTTGGGATTGGTAACGATATGGGAGGTTGTGTATGTTACATAGGATTGTTCTCTCGGTTGTTAGGATGCGGTGGGATTGTCTCTGGGGGAGCGTACAGAAGATCGTGGCTTTGTAATTCGGGAACGGTTTTATGAACATTTTGCAAGTGTGTAGTAGGGTGCTACTGTCGCATCTCCCGAACTTGCCTCTCAGTGTTTTTAGTAGATTTGCTCTATTCCAGACTCTGTCCAGAGTTTCTCTTAGGTTGGTTACCCAGTTGAGGGTCCTCATGAAAGTGATCTTCCAAGTAGGAGTATGAGGTTCTCTCCTAAAAATCTGAGGTTCAAGTTGTCAGGATTTAGTTTGGAGCGGGTTGTGGTATTAGGGTGTCTGAAAGGTATGGTTTGGGTGAACGTAGATTAAAAATAGGGAAGGGGTCAGGACACCGGATTTGGGGTGTGAGGGGGGAGGATAGGGCATCGCTGACTTCAACGCGGATTTGTCAGTTGGATAGGTAGGAGACCACTAGTCAGATGAAGTGGTGCGGAAGACGAATTTGGATGCTGTGTCTTCATCTAATTTGCCATTCAAAAAGTAAGGTTGACATTGAATTGATTCATTCGTAATGACAAACTGGCTTGAAAATTTTGAAATAATCAAGTCGCCCCGGAGGGCCAATTCATTTTTGTTGTTGCATAATTTCATAATTTGTATTACTTTTTTTATATGTATCTATAATTAAAAACAACTTTTTCACTAATATTATTTAGTAGTTTCCAAATTTATTTGAATTATTGATTTGAAAATGAGAAAGAACTCCAAATTGAATTCAAAGATTATGGCGGGCAGATGGCGCTGTACGTAACCTTGATATAATTCGAACTCACTTTACATGTACTTCTTCATTTGAAAAAAGTATATTTTTTTATTAACACGCGCGCCTACTGCCTTATTTGTAAGGCAGTAGGCTTTCAAATCAAAATAGTCAAGCCCAATTTTTCCACAGTTCCAGCATCTTATTTGTTTTCTCTCTGACAAAACTTCTTTTATCACCTTTCTAATGGTGGCCTCAATATCAGCAGGCACCTGTCCATCTTCTTCGATAGTTTGAACTTTGCTTTGGTCCTTGCTGGATTGTTTTACAGCTTCAACCTCCAGAGCTCTTGCCAGTGCATCCACGAGATGTTTGGGACGAGCTAGCGTCAAGGCCTGCCTCGTTTCTTGGTCGCGAAGTCCATCCAAGAATGCCTGAACTGCTAACCGCTCCATTACATTTTCCGGTGTAGCAGGATATGCCAGACAAACCAATCGAGCTATGTCGGCCTCTAACTCCTGTAGGGATTCTCCTATTTCTGGCAGCGGTTCTTCAGCTGTAAATGGTAAACGTGCTCTAGGTGGGCCTGTCCATACCGTAGCTCAAGATGCTTCACAAGTTGGTCATAGTTTTCCTGTTTCTGGGCCGTGAGGGTTTGTAGAATATTTGTTGCTTCCCCACGCAACGCCAATGTTAATGCTACCGCCTTTTCTCCTGCATTCCATCTATTCGCTCTGGCCGCAGCTTCGAATTGTCGGCGGTAATTTACCCATGGAGTTTGTCCGTCGAACTGGGGCGACTTCATGGAGAGCTTTCCTGGTTCAGAACTGTCTTTGACATCTTTCAGTTCCGTAATTGAGTTTTCGCCAACCTTTTCTGTGGGGTGGGCAGAATTAATGATTTAGTTTTGCAAACTGTTTATTGTTTTCTTCATCTTGCTGATTTTTGCCTAAACTCCGCCTTTGATTTCCTCTACTTCTGTGTTCATTTCCTTTGTGATTTTGTCTATCTCTGTCTCGATGATACCTATCCTTTCTTCGAGTAGACTCGCCACATCACAAAATTCTTTCTTTAAGCCTTCTGCATTTTCTAGAAGTTCTTCCTTGAAGCTATTCGAATTTTGTTGAGGTTCATCGAGTTTGTTCATTATTGAACTCATATCACCCTCAGAAACTTCGAATGACTATGTTTTGGGATCTTCACCCGATTCAATCAAGTTATCCCACAGTCTCTTCTGGAGTACTGATTTCTCAGAACAATCTAGCTCCCTCTCCTCCAATTCCTGCTTCAATTCGGCAACTTTCAAGTCCAATAGACGCACTTTCCTCGAACACATTTTGTCTCTTATTGTCTATTTTCCACAAAACTGAATATATCTACTTATTTTGATAGAGTCTAAAACACTTATTTATTTTCACAAGTCTATTTTTCGCGAGAAAGGTCTATCAGTTTATGTTTCCGTAGTTCGGTACTGTCCACTTCGCGAAACTATGTATCACCAGTCTCTCTGCGCGAAAGTTTTATAGTCAATTTCACCGTAATACAAAGATTGTAGAGGTAGACAACTATCGATACTAGGTTTGATCGATCAATTGGTAGTATTGATCAAAACCAATCGATACTCTCGATAAATTATCGACCTATTCCATATGTTTTGAGGAAGTACCATGCGAAATGAATCGTAGAGTTTTTCAGGTGTAGATTTTGGATTAAAACGATATATTCTCATTTTAAAATATTTCAAAGCAGAGTATAAATCGAAACAACTTTTCCCATCTTTTATAATAAAAAATCTTATAATTTTTAAAACATTTGAGGTTTTGTTATATTTTGGGAAAATATTTTTGATTTTAAACTTCTCCAGTGATATATAAAACGTGAAAACTTGCAAAGGAAGAAAACATACATCAATGAAAATACTTTACAAAGATGTATATATCATGGACAGAACTTTTTTTCAGATACGAACCACAAGAAAAAATTAATCCCAAACCTATTAACCTATTCTTGAATTTCTTGTAGGAAAAAGTTTATATTGACGCTCTTTGCTATTCATTACATTGAATAGTGTTGTTTTATATGTTTCAATTTCGTTATCAATATTTACAGTACCAAATGAATAAAAAGAATGATTTACATGTGATTTAATATTTATAACAGAAATTAGTTTCACGTACGTTTTTCTTTTGGTTCGTATGTAAAGAAACCCCTGGGCATGATCTATACATCTGAAAATCGTTGTGGATAATTTTCATTGATAATGATTACTTTTATAGAAGCTTAGTTGATAAGTCTGTAACTTGGACAATAAAGCATATGATGGAGGAGAAGAAAGCTAAGCTAAGTTTCATTTATGTTAAATTTTTGTTGTTTAGCAAAATTTCACGATTTTAGTGTTATAGACATCAACAAACAAAATAATCACTTCGAGATTTCACATTTTTTTATCAATACATAAATTTTCTGTTAACTTCCAAGCTCTTAGGAGCTATCAGTTATTTTAGGAATTTGAATGAATACTGTTCAAGAGCAAGAAATAAAACACTTTACTATAAACATATTTTTATGCATATCAAGAATATCAGTTGTACAACAAACCATAATTAATGTTCACAAATAATATAGAATTAACATTATTTGATTTGAGCCTACTTCTTTTTGCACACAGCGTAAGTCCTGCTTTGGAGAATGACCTTTCTGAGGAAACAGAGGTTGCAGGAATAGTTATATATTTTAAAGCAAGTTTACTCAAGGGATCACCACTATTCTTCCAATATTCTAATGGATTACTACTCAGAGGAATTGTATCACTTTCTAAATATTGTCGAACACAAATTATTGCAGATGACCTTTCATTTTTTTAAACTTCTGTTTCTCTTTATAATCTTTGGAACTCTCTAAACACTTCGAAGGGCCAGGTTTATCCAAATTGTTATTTGTTTCATTGTTTCTTATACAAACTTGAGCCATATTCTGAATTTGTACATGAGCTCTCAAAGAGTTTTCACTGCATCTAAAGCCCTCTTTTTTGAATCTGGGATCCAAAATTGTACCGATTGATGGTATATCCATTTTTTCCTAGTTTGCTAATCTATCATTAATTGAGCAAATGAGTATTTCACACAAATTAAATTCTATTGATGTGTGAATATTTTTCTTACATTCATTCAAATTATAGTACAGACCTTTGACTATTGGAATAACTAGGGTAATAGTAACATAGTTACCTGAAATTTGTTGGGTAGCATTTTCAAATGGCTCAAGAATTCTTACTATTTCGTTCACGATAGATATTTCATTATTATCCAAGATACCTGGGCCATCTGTGAGGTGCAATAAAGTTAAAATTAGTGCATCACTCATTTCCAAAATCCGTTTTAGCATATAATATACACTATTCCACCTGGTAACTACATCTTGCAGCACCTTCAATTATTTCCCGTTTCTTTTCTTTTGTTCTTTTCGCAACCTGTCAGCAGCTAGGGCATTGCGTTTAAAAAATGCAACTATAGATTTACATTTATTAATCAAGTCCTGCAAATCTCTTGCGTTCCTTAAGCCATCTTCAACAACCAAATTGATTTTATGTGCAAAACATCCAATGTGTGAAATATTCACAATGTTGACTGTTGCCTTCATATTTGATGCATTATCAGAAACTATGCATAAAACTTTCTCCCTTAATTGCCTTTTCCTCAGAAGGTCCTGAAATAGTTCACAATTATTTCATTATAGTGCAACGGTTGAATGCTTACCTCTATAATCTGGGCAAGATTTTCAGCTGTGTGCCTTTCTTGAATATGTATAGTTTCTAATACATATGAATTTAATGCATTACTGGTGATAAAATGAACAGTAACTGTAATATATGACATTTTGTTATTATCTTAGTAACTAGTTTCAATATGCTTCGACATATATTGGCTAAGTGTGCTCTGCTTTGCTTTAATTTTCTTTGAAGGAGAATTGATTGTTTTTGGTTCAAGAGAATCATCGGATGACGAAAACGATTGTTGATAACTTTTTTGTTGTAATGCGATGAGCTCGTTTTAGATGGTCTTTCAAATTGGAAGTGTTGCCCGACGTGCGATATATTTTTCTACATTTCAAGCATGTCGCATACTGCCTGCCCAGCTCGTCTTTTACAAAATATTTCCAAACAAATGATGATTTAACCATTGTATTGAAATTCTCAATAGTTTAACAAATTTCCAGTCAAATTCAAGTGTCAATTGTCAATGTCAAATCAGAAAGCGACAACTTAGTTTACTACTTCGCGATAATCAGTGAACTATCGATAGTATCGATAATTAAAATATTTCATAAACTATCGATACATTCGATAGTTGTACACCTCTAAAAGATTGTCTACCAAGCGCTCACAAATTTGTTTTAAAAATCCACTTCTGATCACCAATTGTAACAAATTAACGAATCAACTGTCTTAAACAAATATATTTCTAACAATATTTCACTATCACAACTAATTTATTTACAACACTTAGCACTTAATTTATTTTCACTATTTGAATTCTTTGTTTAACTGCTTGATTCGCTTTCTGAATTCATACTGTCATCTCTGAACGAGGAACCGGCTTTTTATATCGGTAATGATCGTTCTAGATTTCTCTAGTAGTCTCTGTTCTCGCATAGTATTTTCCCGGCGAGTCGGATCGTATTCTTTCGCGGTGATGTCATATGTTTATTCGCTGACTGAGATATCGGTCAGGGACGGCTTCAGATTCGTTACACTATTTTCAAGAATATTTGGTTGGAATTTTCTCATTACATTCAGAGGATAAGGAGACATTTGGTGGCATTTTGTGACATTAATCTTACCTTTCTTATTAGTCAGTGGGCTATGCTTGAAGACTGGCAGTAAACAAATCTGAAGAAATGAACTTTAAACGTTCAAGCCAGTCCCGTATATACCTACACAGTAGGTTGAATGGACTAATGCTTATCAGAAAACAACTAGGAAGAGGAATGAAATACTCTGAAAGAATTCCGATTTTCAATTATGGAATATCATTGACTTCAGTCGATGATGGCCACTATCTTGCACTGACGAGTGGCTAGTGAACCCGAAACTGGTCTGCAAGTGTGCCCGTTCTAAAATTGATATTCGACTCTTTCAGTTGTATTGCCAATTGCGTATGTAGGAAATTTTCCATGAAGATTCCTACACTGACGCCTGTCGGATATAATCCAACGCCCTTCGTGGTATTAGCCAGGGGAGTAGTTGTTTTCTGATAGGCGTCAGTTCATTCAACCTACCGTGTAGGTATATCCGAGACTGGCTTGAACGTTTAAAGTTCATTTCTTTACATTTAAATCTTACCATAACTTCCGAATCCCGAGGTATAAACGCAGGGTATTAATAGCTCTCATCAAGGAAATCAATATAGAAATATGCCATTTGAAAAACCACAACTTTTAGTATTCTTATGTTTTTTAGACACTCTGTATGTTTGCAGTTTTTACATTGGTTTTCTCGTTACTGTGTCCTACTTATTTTTTTTTCAACTTCAATTGGGGAAGTACTATACTCCACTAACACACCCTCCATAAAAACTGAACTGGAACAATTTAAAATGAGCTGAAACCTCTTAATTGGTTCCAACTGTTTGGAACAGGATAAAATATGCAAAAAAAAATCAAATTTATTCAATCATTATTTTGAACATTCCTCCAGAATTTTTGCAAACCATTTCATTGAATGCAATTATCATCAGGTGTTATTAGAAGCCCGAAGTTTTCAAGCATTTTTGTTTCAGATTTCTGGTCAATGCAGCCATTTATGGGATCGACAGGAGATTGAATCCTTGAATATCAATGATAAACGAGGTTCTGGTTTCAACTGAATGCATAAGATGTTATAGAAATACATGAAGTAGAGGAAATGGCAAAACTAGTGCAAATTTTTCAAGGGAGACGTCAAATCAAACTTGTTCTTTGAAAATTTGTGACTGGCATTTTTGTAACTTATATCTGCTGTCATGATTGTGATTAAAAGTTTTTTACTTTTGTCTTTCATTGGGCCTGCCCTGGGAAACAGGTGCCCTACGACTGCATGTGTGTTTTTTTCCAGAGTTTCAGAAGTTCCGAATGGTATGAGATTTGTCAATAAGTGCACAATCAATGATACATTGTATGAAGGATTTTTTGTATATCATAATGGTGATGAACAGTTTTGTATTGTTTGAAAGTCGTTTTTTGGAGTAATCAATACTTCTCACTGTTTTTTTGGGTATGTAACTTTCCAGATTGTAGAAGGTTATATTACATTCCTTAAAACGGTGAGAAACAATTTTATATATCATATTCAATTATTTGCCTAGTGTGTTTTCCAAATGTTTATATGAGGCCGCTTGGCTATGTACTTTTTATACCAAGTAAAAACAATATGTGTCTACTAATATTTGGTAAATGCAGATACAAGTTTTCATCATATACAGAGACCTTTTTTGTGCTTGTCATATACCTTAAAGAATTGTTTCATTTCAATTGATTCTCATTGCATTGCACTTCTTTTGTGGTTTTGAAGTTTCTATCCCTGCGAAACATTTTCTCAATTACAACCTTTCCCTAAATCATTTATGTTATTCTCTAATGTGATTTCACTACCTACTTTTCTATTCCACCTGAATGTAAAACAAATTTGTTTTTGTCGAGGTTTCATTTTCAATTCGGGTGCAATCTAACTTGTTTCAACACTTCCTAATTTTTTTGTGTGATCAAAAAGTACTTTTAATATCAAATCTTTGAATATCTTGCACTTGTGCATTGTTTTAGTATTAGACTATGCTGAATGTACAAGCTCGGTTCATTGTGGGGGCTGAAATAGAATGAGGTTGAGTACACTGGGATGTGGGGGTCTGAGTTTGAAAATTTTTTTTTAATTAACTGTTAATGAAGATGGTATTTGATGAGATGTAAATATATGGTGACTGTTCCATGGTTTGCGGAGGTTACAGTGAAAAATACTGAATTGATGTAGCAGAAGAAGGTAGATGTACAACTGTGAGTTCACTTGGGAGGAGGGACTGAAATATATTCGTTGATGTTAGTGATACAAAATTTATTTTATAGAATTTTGATTTGAAAATGGATTTTAGTACAATTTCTTTCAGGATATACCAGGAGATTTGAAGTCCTTATATACATGTTTTATTTTATATCTACACTTTTTTTTGGGTATTTTTGTACTCGATTTTCAGAATTACGCCAATGTGAAATAAATTTGTTTCATTTCGGATGATGCAGTGGAGATTCCTTTTCTCTGTATCTCTTGTAGTCCTGTGAATTTTGTTAATCATCGGATTATCTGGCAATCAACTTGTCGGCTACCTTACTCCGTGCTGAACGTTCTTTGACAGTGTTATAATTTCATTTATTTATTTATACACCATACAAACAGAAGTCCATTTACATGTATAATATATGTTGTATCGCAGCTTTGCTCGAAGGCTTTTTCAAAAACACTTTTTATTTGTTACTTGTTACTTCTTTATTGTTTCTTTGTTTGCTTTCTTAACCTATACTGGTTAGGTTCACCAAGAAACTAGTCGATATAACGATAGCAAGTGGTCGTACTAGAACCGTGTTGAATCGCGCCAGGATTCTAGGAGATGTGATGTTAGTCAGGGACCGCACTAGTAATGCGGGCGAGTCTCGAAGAATTGAATTTATAAGTTTCCAAGTGATGATTTAGCATCTGTGAAACACAGGAAGTGAATCCGCGCTTTTAATTAAGACGCACTAGTTTCAGGGTGACCATTATACATAATGCGCAATAGGGTTATAAAAGACCCATTGCATTGAAATATATAACATATATTTGAATTCTTCAAATACAGTTTTTTGAAAAATACTTTTTTTTACAGAATTACGGGATACAATAACAACTAGTCGCGTTGTGTTTGCTTGGCCAGATAAATGACAAGGCTCCTGCATCTTCTGGTTTTATAACTTTTCTCCATTTGGAACTTTCCTGTCTTTTGAAAAAATTGATATACTGTGCAGCAACTTTTCAGGCGTAACTGGATTGAGTTCAATATCTTCTTCAACTTCTTGTCCAATTTGGTAATTAGGTCTTTTCTTGAGAATAATCTTGCTATAGATTTGAATCTATTTCGGTGGCTTGTTTTTCAAATTTTGTGATGCAGCTAATTGGCATGGGAATTTCCAAACCCTTTATATTTAAAACCATATCATAATTTGGATATGAAGAAGCACTGTAATCTTTACTTTGGGAGGGTACAAACCACTTACGATTGCTCTGATTATCATCTTGATTATCAAGGTTCACACATTGTTTCCAATTTCTTGGGGCAAACGTATGAATGATGTACCGTTGCCGATTTCAGATTTATTGATTGCTACCTCAAGCAGAAGAATTTTACTCAATGCCCAATCAGAGCCGTGTTCCTGAAATTCATAGAGTTTATTTATTCAAAATAACATCCACAATATGTTCATTGTACCAAGCAGACAAATCTGTCCCCAAATCAATGATGTAATTACGAGTATTGAAATATTTTCTATCAATAATTTCCCCGTCATTCGATGTTTTGATGAAATACCCCAACAATGTCATGTTCACTTTGAGGCATTGCATCTTCTTCAAAATTTTGAAAATTCTAGATTTGAAAAGAAAATATGCATCACTCAAAAATTTTCTCACTTTTTTGTGCGCTAAATTTATAATTACACCTGTCCTCACTCTACCTTGTAAAATTGTATTTACATTTCTCCATTTAACTCTAATGCTTCGTTTCAAACCTCAATTTTCTACAAATTCGAAAGATGTTGCAGGGTTGGCTTTCCCCGTGTTGATCAGCCCTCTGAACACGATTGGCGTACTTTTCTTTTTCGAAATGATTTATAAATCCCTCGTAGGTCTTTGTAACTCTCTGCGATAGAAACGTTATATGCTCCTCCAACTCGAGCAGTACTGTCTTTCCAAATTTCGTCTGCACGATTCGGGGTGAGAAATTTTTCTGCGGCTCTCCTAGCGGAAGATTTTGTAGTTTTTCCACAGGTTTCTTATTCTCTGTGTCTACAAGAAAAATTCCGTTAATTTTTTTTAGATCCATCTGTAACAAAAAAATTGAACAAATGGAAAGAAAATAACATTTTTTTCATATTTTGAATTAGAGAAAATGAAATTTTTTGTTTGCACCAACACTGTAATGCACAACTTTGAACAAAACTTTTCATAACATTTTACGGAAAACGAAATATTTTGGTTTTGAAATGAAAATAAAAGTTTTTGATTACACACAGAATTTTGTGCAAAAATTTTTTCCAAAAACATATACAATAATATTTAATAGATACAATGGGTCCTTAAAACTATATTTACAATTTTCATTTCCCTACTAAAAACTAGGTTACATACCGAGGCATCTCAGCCGTCTCCCAGCTCCGCTCTCGGCCTTGATTATTACAATTTGGAGACTTTTCTATACTAAACTCCGGAGATCGTGATTTATTAAAATTATTTAAAATATCCGGTCCCGACTTCGGAGGCAGTTCCAGTCCAGGTTTCTTTTCCCGAGGATCTGTACGTATCTCATTAGTATCGAAATGCCAATCAGCCTTTGGCCAAAAAGACATTTCGTCTTGAAAAGGCATTCTATTATTCGGATAAGGCCTTTTCGGTTTTTTTATGGATTCCTTCTCCTTTTGTGGAGACTTCCCTCGCCGCCGTTTATCAGGAGGCTGTCTCTTCTTCAGCGAAATTTCCACTTCCGGGGATTCCCCTATACTCAATATATTTTTCGATATGTCGATCGTGACATTATTCGCTTTTAAGAATGGCATCCCTAGGATAGCCTCCTCCCTGAGATCTTTCACTGCAGTGAACTCCAGCTGGCAAGGCACTTCCTTGATCACTGTATCCACAGTGACCTGGCCTAAACTAGGAGTTTCACTGCCGAAACATCCCATGTTAATCACTTCAGGGCAAGAAGTGTTTCCCGGTATGCCATCTTCTACAAATTTCGATTGTATGAAGTTATTTGAGGCCCCAGTGTCTACTAATGCAAGGACTTCCTTGTCATTAATACGGACTGGAATTCGAGGCAATTCCGTCCTTTGACACTCGACCTCTACTTCTTTTGAAGAAAAACGCATCTTTTCTTCCACATCCTCCGCCGGAGGGTTCCGGGTTTTCATTTCTTTGTTCTTCAGGGAATTTCTTTCCTCTATCAATTCACACCACCGATCCTTGACAGGTTTGGTATGAATTTCAGGTTCCCCTGTGACAAAAATCTGATTTACGACACCCCTTGTCGGAGGTTCGGTTTTATCTGACTTCCTGACACTAGTGTCTTCGGCTTCTACGACATTATTTGCCACTCTCCGTGGCGGGGATTTATATTGAATCCGAGATTCGTTAACATTTTCTCTAGGCGGCACGCGCCTAGGCGTATCATTGGCCTGTCGAGAGACATTTCTCGGGCCAGTCTGGGGATGAGAGTTCACTTGCAGATAATTGAAATTTGAGAAATTATTTCCTCCTTGATTTCTAAAATCCACTTTTTGTGCCATTAAGTCAGCCTCAATAGCATCAACAGTCTCTAACAACTGTTCTACGCCGTCGAAGCTCTCTCTCCTAAGAAAGCAGCGAATTGCTGGCTTAATTAGGTTAATAACTGTAGGAAGGATAGATTTTTCATCTATGTCCCCGAATAACCTCCTTGCCAACGCGATCTTATTTAGAATAAATAAGTCCGTTTGAGAAGACTCGTTTTGGGTCTCTCCATAGAATTTTGACGTGAGTTTTGCAATAACGTGTGGACTATTTTATGTATACAGGATACGACTAGTCAGGAACTCCCAGTCTACATCACTGTAATGTACTTCACTATTTAACAATAAGACACGGTTTTCGTATATTCCATTTTATTTCCCAAACCAACTGAACTGCTATCCCTAGGTCACGGCACAGTGCACACAAAAAATATACAGTTTTTATCAACAACAATTCGGATACACTACACTTTTTCTCCCCTAATATCAAAGAAAATAAAAAAACCTAACTTACTAACTACATTATATAGAAAGAAAAAAATATAACACTAATAAGGAATGAATCTCTCTGGAGGATTTCGAATACGTTTTGGCCTTTCTGTTACAACAATAAATTATTCAAAGATTGTTCAGTCAAGTTCTTCTCCTTGAACAAGTGACCTATAAAATCATATGAGCTTTTCAACTCCTTCATAATAAAATGTTTTATAGTTTTAACACTATTTTCTGCCGCCCCGTTTGATGCTGGATGATACGGTGGTGACGTCACATGAATAATTCCATTATTTCTTAAAAATTCTTGAAATTCTGTAGACATAAATGTCTTTGCATTATCTGATCATTTGATAGTTTCATGTAATTTAGTGGACTAAATCCCAAATTAAATTTTTTTATGAAGTCCCTTCCTAAAAGTAGATTTGCTCCTCGACTTATAACAAAAAAATCAAACTTTTTCATCTCATTATTAAATGTTACATGCATAACTATTTTACCCAGGGGTACTATTTCATCTCCGACATAGGTCAAAAATTTCAATTTAGTTTCGATTGGTTTTAAATTAGGAAAATGTTTTTTCCACAGAATTTCAGAAATAACTGATTTAGAAGCCCCCGAATCCAACTCTGCCTTGAAAGGTAAATTGTTTAACTTTACATTTAGTAATATGGGACTTTCTTGTGACGATCTTAAACAAAATAATGCCCCTTCATTTTGTAAACAATCTTGGTTTTCCGACACATTATTCGGATCAGCTGTGGAACAGATGGGCTCATTGACCGTTTCAATAAAATTAAAAGACTGGTTTTTATTTACCTTTTTACATATTCTACGGAGATGTCCCTTTGCGCCGCAAAAAGTACAGGTGTATTCGCGGTAAAAACATCGCTGCGTCTCGTGGTTCCCACCTCCGCACACTTTACATGAAGACATACCTGTTTGTCGCCAGGAGGACCCCGATGAGGTGTTGGTGTTTGAAGTGTCTGCCCTTCTGAAACGGGTTGTCTGCCCTCTGCTGCTTTGTTCGTGGTTTCTTGGACCTGATCTGTATCCTGTCCTCTGATCTTTCACTTCTTGATAATCAAGTTTGTAAATATTTTCTCCTTTCACTTGCACTGTGGCTGGTAATCGATAACTATGATTTGCAACATCTGTTGCGGTAGCCGCTTGTATTGCTTCTTGAAAAGTCAGATGTTCATCTTTGGTGAAGAACATATCCCTTTTTCAAACCCACAGATGAATTTGTCACGTAGTGCATTATCTAATGATGTTCCGAATTTACAATGCGTTGCTAGACCGCGAAGACGAACCGCATACTCTTGGATAGTTTCAGGATCCCACTTTTTGGTTGCATAAAATGCAAAACGTTCTGCAAATACCACACGGGTGGGTTTATAATATGTTTCGAATATTTTCACTATGTCATCAAACGAAATGTTTTCCGGTTTTGCAGGTAAGGCGAGGTTTTCTAATAGCACGAATGCATTTTCGGATAATGCGTTCAATAATATTGCACGTTTCCTCTCTTCATTAACGATTGCATTTGCCACGAAAAAAGACTTCAGCTTCCTGATAAATATATCAAAATCGTGAACATCTGGATTGAATTCAGACTGAATTCCAAACTGCGCTGCCATTTTCTTTATTGGTACCTGAACTAAATGATATCAATTCTTCAATTATGAATGCACTTTACATTAACCATTATCCTTGTCGCCAACTGTAATGTACTTCACTATTTAACAATAAGACACGGTTTTCGTATATTCCATTTTATTTCCCAAACTCAACTGAACTGCTATCCTAAGGTCACGGCACAGTGCACACAAAAAATATACAGTTTTTATCAACAACAATTCGGATACACTACAATCACAATGTCTGTAAACGGCAGCCCATTCCGCGGCTTTTCCTATAATCGTTCCTTAAGTATCTTAACCCATTCCTCTCTAGGAATGTGATACTTACATAACTTGTTCACAAGTTTGTCAATGAACTTTTGTGGATTTTCACTGTCTATTCCACTGAAGCTCGGCAAACTATCCTTGTCCAATGTATGAACTGTCGATCTGGCATTCTGTCCCTGTTTTATAGCAGTTAATAGAATCTCTGCCAGCCGATTTATCGGGTCAGTATTGACCGTTTGTTGAGGAATACTTTCAGTATCCCGTATTACTGGGCGCCATCGCATTTCATTATTTGAGTCATAACGCGAAAAAGGCTGGTTATTTTCGTCAAAAGTGACACTTCTCTGTCCTTCAATCTCACTGTCACGAACGGATTCGTATATTCACTCTCGTCCTCGTCCGGATACAGGAACGGATTCGTCGAGTTATTCCTTTGTTCTGTGACTATTGTAGAGAAAGGATTCGTTGCAGAAAACATCGTGTTTTCGCTATAAGCAAAATCGGCCCCACGGTGGCCAGCGCCATGTTGACGACTCGGCGTACTGAGAAAATGAAAATCGCTGTCCATTTTCCCCGAATGTCGACTTTTACCCGGCTAGGCTAGTGAGTTCTTTTTGTCGACGCCGAGCATCACAGAAGACCAGAGCCGGGAAACCCTCTTGGCTCCCGGAGGATCTCTTTCGCGTAGAC